TCTTAGATAAACTAAGTATGTCAGCACTGTCAGTCAATATTAACAAATGATTTGAAGGGTAAAGGTGGAGCTCAATGGTACAAGCCCTCGTGTAGCATTTGTGAAGCCTAGAATTATTTATTTATTTTTTTTGATACTGGGGCTTGAACTCAGGGCCTACCCCTTGAGCCACTCCACCAGCACTTTTTTGTGAAGAGTTTTTCAAGATAGGGTCTCGAGGAACTACTTGACTGGGCTGGCTTCGAACCTCCATCCATCTGACGTCTGCCTCCTGAGTAGCTAGGATTACAGGCATGAGCCACCAACACTTGGCTGGAATTTTTTTTTAATTTAAAAAAAATTTTAAAAATAAAGTAGTTGCTTTATTAGGATATTATAGAAGCAGTGGTGATGGTAGAGGGGTGATGTTGGAGAACAGCTTTGCACTGGAAAATGAGAACTTGACTTTTTACTTAGGTTTCTCACAGAGACAGAATGAGATGATATTGACAAGATATCAAATCTGATGATATTGACAAATACTCTAGAAACTTCCCAAGAACATCTGTGTCTGGATCGTTCAGGCTTATCATCAACAGACTTGTGGATCCCCATCTAGATTTATGACAAAGGATTCCCAATCAATATAATGTGCTCAGAAAGCTCAGATTTTAAAAGGACTTCATACTCAAAAATGTTACAAAATACTCAGACTGAGCTTTCCTCTCTTCCTGCTTTATCAATTTGCAACTAAAAATTTAATACGAGGGGCAAAATATATCCTGGACATAATTAATACATGATGGAAAAGATGCATGCCTTGGCAACAAAGATGTTTTGGAGGGGAAAAAAGCTAAAAAAAAAATCATTAACTCTGATAGACAAAATCTGTAAAGGAGGAAAAATGCCTATCATGGTAGTGTCAGGAGCATAATGATCCTAGGGTCCTCTCTGATTATAGGAAGGCAATGGGATGAGGACAGAGCCAGTTATGTGGAGTCAGAAGACCCAGGATCAAACCCCAGCAATGCTACCTATATGCTCGGTAAACTTGGACAAGTCCAAGTTCACTCTCTCACCTGTAAAATGTATTAAATAATATAAATGCATTCAAGGCCATTGGGTTCAAATTAGATTATAGAAGTAGAAGTGTTTTATCAACTAGAAGGAGCTAAAATGTTACTTGTTGCCATTATCTTAGTGACAACTTTTTTCCAGTTGTTATCACACTTTGCTCACAGATAGTCATCCATTTCATTTTTGGTAATTTTTGCAGTTCAGGGATGTTGTGGCTAAAGAGCTATAAATGCTTTGGTTTACCAGGTCTGAATGACAAGATTATTTATTTGACCTCCAGGAGGCCACAATGAAATTTGCACCTCACGTTCCTCTCAGTTTTACAGGTCTACAATTTCATCTCCACTTCTGCTGAGGGAGCCTCCACCCCTTCTCTTTCCAAGTTCACTTTCCTTTTCTTATCTGGGGCAAAGGCTGGAAGGGAATTATGAAAAGTCAGTTCTGCTCTGAAATATCAAACTTCCTTTACAAAGGGTCATTTTCCTATCTTGGTTCAGAAAGGATAAAACTGCTTCATTGAGTACACAGAGAAAAGCAGTGGGTAACTGTTCTTGTCAAAATTTCTTCATCTCCATTGAATGTGGGTTGAAGGATGGCTGGAGTATGGATTACTTAGGCTGTGAGCTTTCAAAGCCTTTCCCGAGACAGGAAGTGATGAAATCAGCTTTCACATGAACTGAGAGTTGGTCATGAGCACCCAGCCACTTCCTGTCTTGGGTGTACGGGAGGGGAAAGTAGAGCATGGGGAAGTACGTGGTGGGGAGAGGGAAGACGAGGCCAGACAGAAGTAGTGGGAAAAGTCCCAACTCTGCCCCTCATTCTGTTTCCTTATTCTCCTGGGGCTAAAATTAAGTAAACTGACTTATTTGCCAATAACCAATCTCTGCTATGTAAAACTATTGGATATAACTACACCCTTGTTCTGAACTCTACTGACAATGCTATGGAAGGAAGAAAGCATCAATATGTTGTATGGCCTTCTAATTGTTTAATTAGAGCTCACATACCAAGTGAATTCTTCTGCCTTATCCCTGAATTTTCATCCTAAATAGCAAGGTGGAAGGAAGGTGAAGAAATGATTGGATTATCTATGTGTCTGGGCACCAACTCTCACATTAATAATATTTACTATTCTCAGGATATTCATTATGGAAAAGTGACAAAGTTAGTGACAGATGATAAAGAGGAAAAGATGAAAAATGGAGCTGGCTTTCTTGGTTTCGTGAGAGAATTTCAGAGAAGTACCTGGAAGAGGAGGCACCCTTGGACAGTCATAAAGGGAACTGAAGACATTATGATGAGGTGAGACTCTGCACCAATAACAGAAACCAGCACAAGTCAGGGACATGACTTCAGACTGAGGCGGAAGTGGATAGGTCTCACTCCTTGTTGCCATGGGTAAGGCTCTCTCCTCAGTTGATGGATTATAATAGGAAAAACCACAATCAAATGAAGCAAACAATAATTAAGGGTGGGATACCTGATGGTCTCACCAGCTCCACCTGAGGGAAGGACCAGGACAGAGTCTGACTAAGGTTTACATCTTGAACAAAGATGGAGTTGAAAGGAGCTAGTATTTGTTTGTAAAGAAAATGAATTTCAGCTGGGGGTGTAGCTCCATGGTAGTGCACATATGCTGCATGTGTGAGACTCTGAGTTCAATTCTCAGACCTCCAACTGCCCCTCCCCCCAAAAATGAAAGTAAATTTTGTGCTGAACCCATAGTAGCTTAGGGTCCTCCTGGCTGCTGCTGACGTGGCACCTCCCAGTGCCATGGCATCGTCTTTGTGCTTACCTAGGTATTCCACTGCCAGGAAAGAAACCCCAGGACACGCAAACAAGAGCTCAGTCAGCACGAGTTGGATGGCGTCACCTGGCTTACACGGAGACAAGTGGTAGCAGCTTGATTGTCCTCAGCCCCTGCTATCACCAAGGGGACTCAGGCCCATCAAAGCAGAGTCAACTGTAGCTGCCTGATATCCACAGTTTGTTCATCACAGTTGTACCAGGTGTGTGATCATCTTGCTTCAAGCCACAAAAGTTGAGAGCAAATTTTCCTAGGAACTAATCTGTAAGTCTGAAAAAGAGACCACGATCTGTGCCCCACTTCCACAGGGTAGAAATGACACCTCCCAATATATGTGCTATACCCAGAGAAAGACTTTCTTTCAAGCTTGGGTTTTGTTGTGTTTGATTTTGCACATCTTATTTCATAAAGCGTTATCTTGAGTCCAAGGCAGGGGCTCTAAGGCTAGGCTTTAAAATTAACTTTGTAAATTGTACTGTTATTACATAGAGTAACTTGTCCTATGTGACAAACCTTCACTACAGTCCTCAAGTCTTTCATCCAATAGCATATGCCCCTATTACCACCCAGGCAGAAAGTCTCATTTATCTACATCAAGTGTGATAAAAGTTTATCAGACTTCTGCTTTCTCCATTTCCTGTCCTGCTAGCTACACAGGATCCACAGCTGCACCCAGCCATTATAGAGGAGAGGTCTTGGAGCCTCACAGAATTGCTCAGAAGCCAAGTCCAGTACAGTGAGTGTGAGGACACGGTTAAGAAGGCAGAGCTGCTGGTTCCTTTCCTTCCCTGCAGTTCACTACAGCAATTTTGCTTCTGTCTCTATCAGACACTGGCATACCAGAACACATTTGAATTTCCTACTCAGATGAGGGAACTATTCAGCCTGCCATGTTTGGGCAGATGAGATGAGCGCTGAGCAGGTAACTTCCTCATACACCTTTACTGGAATGATGGGGACTGCCCTATCCCAGGAGTCCTCAGCTTCCTCCAACAGAGTGTGGAGTGTTTATGTCCACACCAGCTCATGTGATTTGACTCTCAACATCTCCTCAAGGTAGAGCTTACCATTCTTGTTTAGTAGGCAAACAAACTAACCCAAAGAGACACAGGACTTCCTGAAAGTGGCACAGCTACTGGGTGGCAGAGCCTAGGTACAAACTCATGAGATGTTGAACTCCAGCTCTTCCTGCGATATGCTATTGCAGGGTATGTGTTCTGATCCTAGTTTACATGAAGTACTTTCCCTATGTATTCATTCATTCCTTTGATCTCATTCTCAAGAAGACCTTACTAATTTCCCAACTAAAAGAGGGCCTGAGGGAAGAAACAGATCACTCTTTCCTAGAATGTCTGTAAGTCTTCTGTGCTACACATCTGGGGTGTCATGGTACAGTCTTCCCAGCAAGAACCACCGTGGCCAATACTGAGGAACAAAACATTTCTCAACATGACTAACAGACACAATGAAACTATTAAGAGTCAATATCTGGCACCATTCAAATGTTCATTTCCCTGATATACCAGGCACATCACTCAGTCTCTGGGGAACTTGCCTCTGCTCTTAAATATACTTCTGGAAATATGTGATTCCAAAATAAACTAATGGGTAACTCCTTGGTCAGTACTAGAAATACTACAGATGAACATTTCTCAGAATCCTAATGATACATCCAACAAGAAGCAGAAGAGGAAGAGCAGAAAAAGAATATAGCTTCTCTTTTTTCAAGAATGCTGAAGACTTAAAAATATCAGTACATTAGCTTCAAAACATAAATACAACATATGAATGATTTGAAAGGTGCTATGCGTATATAAATTGGAATTGCCCCTCCAAAATACTGAGCAAAGTGACTGATTCAGGCGCACCATTTCTAAGACTTGTGGGGAAATGACAACCATAAAAAGGTTGATTTTTCTTATGGAAGATGATATCAAGACAAATCTACACACACACACACACACACACACACACACACACACACACAGTGTGGAACTCCCATTAATGTCTCCAAGGAAGCAGCCTTTGGAAAGGGCTTTATCTCATAATCACTGCACACTCAGCAGAAATTCCTTCTTCCTGGACTAGCAGTTGCCTCCTGTATTTGGGCTGCACACTCGGTCCTTTAATACTTCACCTGAGCTGAAAAGTCAATGAGCTTTGGGAGCAGCACCTTGCCCCCTTCATCGCTCTTCAGGAAATCCAGCAAACTGCCTGTGAAAGAGGAAGGACAAGTTAGTGTAGCTCAGACACACATCCAAGTGCAACCCAGTGACTGTTACTATTGGGAGGAAGACCCCACAAAATGATGGCTTTGCAGTTCTGTGTGGTTGTAAAGCCTTTCCCTGAGGCTGGTCAATCTGTTACTTTCAGTCTGATGCTAAACGCAGCATGCACTCAGGCTCAGAAAGGATGATGTGACCACTGCTTTTCTCTCTAGAGATATCTGAACAATGCACTCTAGAGGACCTACCATTGTGGTTAGCCTACTGCAGCTGCCTGATCTTTGGCAAGCTCCTCCAGACCAGAAACCCAGCAAGCAAGGCAGAGGGCTTGGCCTTCGCAGATACCAGGCTAAGCTTGCCCCATTTGTACCCAGCAAAAGGCAAAGAACTCAGCACACGCCATAGGTGCTTGAAGAGTAGTTGCACTAGAAATTAGACCTACCTAAACAGGGGTGTGCAAACAGACCAACTGTCTTCCTTCTTTGGCTTCTATGTCTCTAAAATAAGACCTGCATTTTCTCTGAAACTTAAAAGTACCAATTTCATGGGTAACCTTGCTCAAGACACTCACACCAGCTACATCTCTGCAAAGCAGGTAGCTCTATCAGAGTTCTCGGGGAAGATGGACTCAGGGATGGATTTAATGCACCTGACATGGCGCTTGGCAGGTAATAAGTGCTCAATAACTGTTACACAACCTCAACACAGAATGAAACAGTAGTGCTTACTTTTTTAGTCTGATACCATTTAGAGGTACTGGGCATCACTCACCCTTGGCCATGTATTCAGTGATGATGTAGATGGGCTCTTCCTTGGTGACCACAGCATAGAGTCTCACGAGCTTGTCGTGCTGAAGGGTCTTCATGAGGTTGGCTTCTTCGAGGAATGCTTGCACAGACATGGTGCCTGGCTTCAGGGTCTTTACAGCCACCTTGGTGCTATTGTTATAGTAACCTAGGGAGGAAAAACAAAGCAGGGCATGCTGCATCAAATGGAAAATTCTAGAAACTTCACTTCATAGATGCAGCGTTAGGAAATGATTCAATTAAAGACAGAAAATGCCTTAGAGAAAACATTATACATTGTTAAAATTAGGGGAAACTGAGTGAGGGGTGCATTGGAATCCTTTGTACTCTCCTTATAAAAAAATCTAAACTCATTGTAAAATTAAAAGATTTATATAAAACAACAGTAAACAATAGAACACATTCTACACTCATGCTACCATGACAACTAGTATACTTCTCTAGCTAATAAAATGCTATCCAAGACCAAAACAAACAAAAGATTATATACTCTATAATCCCTTACACACATACATAGACAATGACATGGGAGAAAATATTCCAAAATACAAATCAAATACTGACTTTCTTCAATGGTGCAATTTTGGGTAATTTTAATTTTGCTCACCAGACCTCTATTTACCAAATTTTATGAAATGAATATGTATTATTTTAATAATCAGAATAATCATTTTACTTAAAAAATTACTTATATATACTAACTTTAAAATGTAATTCTCCAGAAGAGTCAAATAAGCATTTCCCAAAGTTTTCGGAGAACTGGATTTAGGCGGCTCTCCATGATAAAAGGTTCCACGCTAAAAGGGCAGGGAACAATGCCTGGCTACTTCTCCCCACCTGTTTCTGCCAAGAGATGCCACAGGGCACTGGGAGCCCTTCAGGAAAGAAACCTGAATTTTCTCACCTGGGTATTTCCCACAATTCTCCTGACCAGAGAACACTTGTCACATATCTTGTCGTGCCTCATGAACACTGGGAAATCCTGATTTCTTAATCTAGTTCCTTTAAGGTCCTACTTCTTCTGGAAACTGCCTCCATGAAGTGCTTAATTTTAATCCTGATTTTCTCTTGGGAAAACCTTTGTTCTGTGGTTTGGCAAAGCAGACATATAATAACCATGTTCCCCTTTCCACTCCTCTGTTCCATATTTCTCTTGAAAGTACAAAAAAATAAAGTTGGGGGATATGCGGTGAGTGGGTTACTGCCATCTGGTGTGCCGCAATTTTGCAGTACTTACCCTCAGAAGGGTGACCTGGGAATAGACAGCTCCTTTTGTAGATCACGAACCAACTGTACACGCACACCAGAGGTCACTGGCGGCACGCTCAAATAATAATGATTAATTATGGGTGGAAGAATTTGGGTGACTTCTACTTTCTCTTGTTATATCTGTTTTTATTACATTTGCCAAGGAGTATGTATCTACTGTGGTTTTTTTTTTTTTCTTTTCTTTTGTGATACTAGGGTTTGAACTGAGGGCTTCATGCTTGCTAGGCAGGTGTTCTACCTCTTTAGCAACAACTCAGCCCTGTATCTGTTTTTTAGTAAAAGGAATTATTTTTACAAAGAAAAGTTATGTTTCAATTTCCAAATCCTCAAATGGGCAAGAAAAATTACTGGTGTATAGCTAATTAATCAGTTCTCACCATTTTTTTTTGACCAATCAGACTAATTTCTAGGGCTGGGGATGTAGCTCAGTGCTAGAGTACTTTGCCCATCATGAGTGAGGCCCTGGTTCTATCCCTGGCACTGCAAAAAAAATTAAAACAAAACAAACAAACAACAACAAAACCCCCAAACCCCAAAAACCAACCAAAAGACTGATATATTTATTAAAATGTTTTCTTTTCCTAGTACGTGCAAGGCACTGGAATCCCTCTCAGCACCATTTCCTTAATTACATTTTAGTCTATACATAGTATAGACTAATGTAGTATAAAATAAGTCATAGCACATGTGGTGAGCACAGTAATAGAAAGTCAACAAGGAAAACTGCTCTGGGTCTTTCTCAAATGCTACAACCTACACAACATCACAGAATCATGAATACATTAAGTGGATTTGCTGTCTCAATGCACAATTACAAGAAATATGATCTTTTCTATAGATCTGAAGAGTAACTTTCACTTAAATTCCACTAGCAAAGTCCTTTACAATTACATTTGAAGCAACAAGATTCCATTATAACTTTTAAATTAATTTATAAATAGGTCCTCAGATATGGGGTATATTGGTGCTACAGCTCAGCAAGAAAACACACTCTCCACCACAGGAAGAACTGGTATCCAGAATCCATAAATAATTCCTACAAATCGGTAAGCAAAATAGAAAAATAGGTAAAGGCTTGGATAGGCATTTCAAAAAGAAGAAATTCCAGTGACTAATGGACATGCAACATACTCAATCTTACTAGTAATCAGAGAAATGCAAATAAGCTATAAGGAGAGGTCACTGCCCAGCTTGACAAAAATGAAAAAGTCCAACTCTACCAAGTGCTCTAAGCTCCTGCTGTGGAAGGGACACTGGGACAACTCCCTCAGGTCCTTTTCTGTGCTCTTCTCTGAGTGTCAGTGAAACTCAATCGCAAAGCTTTTGTGACAATATCTCAAGGGGCCCATGAAAGATGTGACAGACAGCTTCCTTCCAAGTAACCACATAGAGGGTGTGCTTCTCTGAGCCCAAATCCTTCTAGGTGCAACTCTGCTGGTCAGGAAAGAGAACACTGAGGACCCCTGTATATTGCTGGTGAGACTATAACCTGGAACCAGAACTTTGGAAAATTAGTTGACAGTATTTAGTAGAACGAAGAGTCACAAACAGTCATCCTTAGGTAATCTGTGGGGAACTGGTTCAGGATCCCTTAAGAAAGTCAAACTCTGAGAATGTTCCAGTCCTTTGCATAAAATAATAAGGTATTTGCATGGAACCTACACACATCTTCCTGTATACTTTAAATCATCTCTAGGTTACTTGTAATGCCTAATACAGTATAAATACTATGTAAAAAGTTGTTCAACTGGAATAAGACAGAGAAAAAAATCTGTACCTGCTCATACAAATGCAATCCTGCCCTCTGCAACCATTCTCCATCCAAGATTAGACTGAATCCACAGGTATAGAACCCATGGATACATAACACAGCAAACCCATTCCTAATCACCTAGAAAAACTCATGCAGTCCTGACCCAACACAAAAAAGGTTCAGAATACATTGATCACAGTAGCCCAAACCTGAGAACAACTCCGATTTCGTCAGTACACAATCAAATGAATGAATAATTTGTTGTATGACTTGAATGCACATACAGCCAACACTATACAGCAATGAAGATAGATTAATTATAACTAACCAAAAAACGGGTGATCCACAAATGTATCTAGCAAAAGAAACAAGGCATACTCCAGCACATCTGGTATGATTCATTTATATAAACTTCAAGTATAGGCAAAACTAGACTACATTGGTTGGAGGTATATGCATCATCATATAAAAAATAATAAAACTATGTATTTTTTAAAAGCCAGTGGATGTGTAGCTCAGTGGTAGTGTGCTTGTCCAGTATGTACAAGGCCCTGGGTTTTATCCCCAGCACCATGAGGGGATGAAGCCAGGAAATTAGGACAGAGGTCAGATAGCAGCTGTCTCTGGGGCACAGGCAAGGTCGTACTTGGAAAGGCACAATGGAGGTCTTTGAGGGGGGTAGTAATGTTCTGCTGTGTAATCTCAATGGTGGTCCACAGGTTTTCATTTATTAATTATTTGTGAAACTGAATATTTGTGTGGTATGCACATTTCTGTCTACTAGTTATATAACATGGTAATAAAAGTTAAGCTAATCCTACTCCCCAGTACCATCAGGAAAACAATGGAGCTCATGGAGACTTTTGCACATTTTCAAGGATGAAGTAAAAAAGTGCTTTCTAAGGTCAGTCAGGGGAAAAAGCCATCAGGAAATACTGCAGCTGTTAAAGACATTGAAATGCTGATAAGGAGTCTGAAATGAACAGTGACTACACAGCTGTGCCCCCCACTACCTCCCACCAGCTCAAGAACCCAGCCGCTTCCGCTAAATGATCTCCCAGAGCCAGGACATCGAAAACAGCAGGGCGGTGTTCAGTCTTGCACTGGAGACATGATTTTTATTTAGCACACAGGGAACAAACCATACCTTACTAACATATTCCCCAGTCATTTGAAGGTTCCATTATTCTAGTCATAGCACTGTGGGTTGTTATAGAAGGAAAATTATTTGTTTGTTTGTTTATTTTGGTGATACTGGGGTTTGAGCTCAGGGCCTCACACTTTTAGATAGGTGCTCTACCACTTGAACCACACCTGAAGCTCAGGAAAATTATTTTTTTAGAAAAGATCTTTTCAAGATAGTAAAGAACTTCTTGTTAGTGCCACTTTGCCACAGCTGGAAAAACAAATCAAACCCAAATAACCCTGACATGACAGCTTGTGAAAACTCCAATTGCAGCCACCACTAGCTTGCTGTATGACGGGATGGAGAGTGGTTTAAGAAGACGCATACAGTTACAACAGAGACACCTGCACACTCGTGTTTATAGCAGCATTATTAACCAGAGTCAAACTATGCAATTGGCCTAGGTGTCTGTCAACAGATGAACGGATGAAGAAAATGTGGTATATATACAAGATGGAGAGTTATTTGGCAGTAAAGAATAAAATCATGTCATTTGCAGGAAAATGCATGAAAATAGAGATCATCCTGTTAAGTGAAGTAAGCCAAATTGAGAAAGACAGAAATCACATGTTTTCTCTCAAATGCAAAACCTAGACTTAAAAAAGAAAAAAAAAAGACATGAAAGTAGACATGAAAAAAGACATGAAAGGGGGACTATTCGGGAAGATGAAGGAGATCAACATGATGGGGGACAGAGATGACAATGGAGGCAGGAATATTATTATTACATGTATGAAGATGTCATGATGAAGCACATTAAAATGTTATTTCTGGCCAAAAAAAAAACATGAAAAAAATGCTCACCATCCCTAGCAATAAAGGAAATGCAAATTAAAACCATGCTAAGATTCCACCTCACCCCTGTTAGAAGAGCCATCATCAGCAACACCACCAACAACAGGTGTTGGCGAGGATGCGGGGAAAAAGGAACCCTCTTACA